CATGTTGGCAGAGATTAAGGAATTGGTTAAGGGGCTTGATCAGATGAGCTTTGAGATGGAAATTTTATATTCCATGATTTGTTTTGGCATAATATAGCAAGACTTTAGATATGACCATATTTATTATTGGGAAAGATTGCTACCACCAACCTTGATTGATGGACTTGCTCAATAAGATTCAACTAATGTTGCTGTGAACTTGACAAATCCTGATTTGTGTTTATTATTTTAAGACATATAAAATAGATAAAACAAGGGATTGTGCAATGATTTGCTACAGAGTTTAAGATAGAAAGTGGTCTGAGTCAGTCCCAGTGTTTTGATCTATTCCAAGCTTGGCAATAGTTGTATGTTAGTTTGTAAGTCATAGAATTGGCTTATGTGTCTAACACCCACCACACTGTCTGACACATGGTGGGCACCATTTGTTGAAGGAATGAGTGGCTAATTCCTCTCATGGATTGATTGATGTTCACTAGCTTCTACCTTGTCTGAGGAACAGAGAGGAAGCCAATTCCTAAGGCACTGGTCAGTTAGATCACTTTTTAAGACTTTTCTCACAAATTTCACACCCTCAGAGAAGAAGGCATAGATAGTAACAGGAGATGTCCTGGAAATAGAAGCTGTAGCAACTGGTAGGAAGATCCCTTCTAGTGCAGAAGAAGGCAGCTCTGAGAGAGAAGTTGAGTCTGTTTCAGGGGATATAGAAATATTTTAATCAGGTATTCAAGCAGCTCTCCAGAATTGGGGCAGTAGGAAGTATTTCAAATTATGACACTACATTTGGAAATACTGTTTTCATATGAACATTTACATATTATATTTAGGACTTTTTTGAACTCAGAAATAACATCCTGTAAACTGTAAGAAAATGTAAAACTGTAGAGAAAAAAATGTTATAGTATCAAATAACACCAGATTCTATAAAACATAAAAATCCTTTTATGGAAAGTAAAATTCTTACAACATGCTTTTAAACTATTTATTTGGTATTAATGGCCATATATGGCCACCAAGTCCCATAAAGTAGTGCCAGATTTCTTATTTAGCAATTTGGAAACATTGCTTTTTAGGCCATGTATGCGGAAATTCAATGATGTCCAATTTGTTTGTCATATTCTTATCTTGGGCTATACACAGATGAGAAGTGATCCTACTTTACATAGTCTTCTCTACCAAGATCATTATTGAGTAGATAGTGTAAGACTAGAAATATGTTTCTCTAGATTTTATTTATTTATTTATTTTTGTTTCCAGTGACACAATTTGACCATGCCTTGGATCAGGGATTAAATTTATTGTATCTTGCTAGATGTAATCAATCTTGTTTTCTAAAGACAATAGATTTATGGTTTAAAGGAATTTATTTAAATCCATTTTCCCTCTTTTTTATAAACTGTCATATGTCTCTATTAAAAAACTACTTAGATGCAAAAAGTCATTAATTTAAAATTGAAGTTTTTTTTCTTTCTCCTTCATTTACTCCCTCCTTCTGTTCTTCTCTTTCTCTTTCTTCTTTCTCTTTTCTGACAAGCTATGTCAAAGCTCCCAAACTCTACTCTCCAAATTCTTGCCCTGTATTCACCAAGAGGTGAACAGACCATAAAGTATCATTGTTTTCATCAAATCAGAACTATCAGCACGTGTGTGAGCAATACGAAGAAGTTGCAAGGGAACATTTATCTTAGAAATAATTTCGAATGTACTAAACATATAAGAAATTATTTCTGAGTTTAAAAATAGTCAACACAACTTGGAAAGCATGGTAATATTTATTCATGATAATAAACACGTTTTTTAATGAAAGCCATAGATGTCCAAACACAAACTGAATCATGACAACCCAATGGCCTTTTTTTTTTTTTTTTACAAAATCTATGATCTATGACACATGTCCCGTTAATTTGCCAAATGATATGAGTGCAGAGAAAGGATGAGTCCAAAACACTAAAATACTTTTAAACACACAATCTAATATAGATAGCAACTGTGAAAATGGCATTCAAAAATGGTCCCTTTGTTTTAACTTCATCTGCTGAGTTTTTGCTACTGTACCTTTACAAATTTTTTAAAGCTTTAATTGTTATCATTCATTTCAACACAAAACTGGCTTAACTTTCCATAGAGGACTACATTCTGTCACATTAGTACATATGGAGGGAGGTATACAATGTCATTGGTAAATGTGGGTCTGAAACGGCCATCATAAATATCCTACAAACCATATAGTATTATAGGGTATATAAACCTTACACTATATATAATGGCTGACTAGGAAAAGATGGCTGTCCCTACAACTTCAGACTTCTTTAAAATTAAACTTTCCTATTTGGAAAAATTTTACTGTTTGTTAGAGATTTAAATTTCCATTCTTAAGTCTATCAAATCAGATATCTAAATAATTGTCACTTTCCAAATAATTCACCTCATTCTTTCTTAGGAGTCATTTGGACCCATTTGAAATCATAAGAAAATCAAATCAAATGCAAGAATTTCTAAATAAAATTTTCTTATTGGCAATTTATAACATAGTCATCCTATTGCACTTTTTAAATTGGATTATCAGAATCTAAAATTAAAAAAATAATAATAAGTTTTATAAATAAAAGCCCATGAGGAAAAGGCACTTAAGCCCTGCACATGGTTATTCCAGTCTGTATTCTTCACACTTATCAAATGGAATTGATTTCTGGCCTGCATACAAATACAGTAAAGTGCCAGAATAAAATCAAATCAGAATGCTTTTAAAAAAGAATCAAGTTGGCCACCAAATGTTTCACATCAGTAGGAAATTTCTTTAGAGATGGATATTTGAAGCATATGTTGTTATCATATCAAGTGCAGGAGAGGTATAAGGCTATTGGAGAAATTCCCTTAGTTTATTGACTAAAAAGCCAAAACAATTGTTATAACAGTAAAGCTTGACAAGATAATTAAATGAATGATAACAAAATCTCAGCAGGGAAGTGCCCATTAATTGAATTTATTTGGGAGCATGTTTTCACAAGTATAACCAAATTATCTAATTTCCACTCACATTAAAAAGTGATAGTCTATAACAACTAATTACTGGAAACGAAGGAAAAAGCCAGTACTTTGAACCAATAACACAGAAGAAAACAAATTTACTAACATCAAAGGACTGCCATGAGATTTGACAGATTCTTAAGAATTCCATTCATCATTTTGTCCTGTGAAAATATTTCAGTGAAACTCGCTAAAGAAAAGAATCCCAGTAATTTCTATGTAGTAATGTCTTTAAAGCTGGAACATATTTCCTACACTCTTTGTATCCTTTCTTGATATTAATATGTGTGACAATATGAGTGTGCCAACAGGTGACATAACTGCTGTTACAGAATATGTTGTAGATATGACAATTGAGTTTGGCATTTCCTTTCTGTAAGAAAATTAGTGCCATCCTGTTTTCCTCCTTAGTATTACATATGGTTGATAGATTTTTAAAAATTTTGCTGCTGTTTTCATGTACAGATCAAGAAGTCTGAATTAAAGCATTATTTTGGTCAGCTTTTAAATTTGAAATGAGGAATAAAATAATCTACACTCAGATTTTCTGCTTTAAGCTGCCAGCAAGATATCTCCAAATTGAATAATTTTAGTGCTTTAACAAATTATGTCCCAATTTGCATTAAAGTTAATGATGAACTTTGTTATATATCTGTGATAGTCAAGTAGATTTTGATCACAGTCAACATGGTCAATGGCCATTGAAAACTATAAAATCTGTTGCTTTAATATTTCTAACCCCATACTCTAAAATAATATTAATCTATTGATAAATATTTGGCAAAAATTTTATATAATAGCAAAACAATTAAATAAAATTAATTTTGGTATAATATTTGTATAAATTCTAAGCAGCCTTGCCTATTTTTAAAATCTGAGGCAGGAAAATCTGAATTAATAAATAATTCCAAATTATTCTTTTAATTTTGTTACTCATTTTTTTCATAAATTGTCATCTCAATAAATCCATTTTAAACATATTGGTTAAAATTGAATAACAATATTTAAAATTTTCCTAGCATTTAAAAATTATGTTTCAGCTTTAAAAACAGTTCTTAATGTTCTGTTTAATGTGGGACATCATTTACATTTAGAAAACTAGAGGCTATAATTATAAAACTAGCAACTAACACTTATTCACAATGACTTTATCACGTGATAACAAAACCTAGGCTGCTTTATCTTCCACAAAGTTGGTACTACCTTAATTTAGAGAAAAGAATAGGGCTATGCTTTGTTTTCCTAAATCATTTTCCTAAATTAATATAAAGTAGATGTCAGTTATGCTATAGATAGGTAGGTTGCTGATAGATAAATATAGAATAGATTGGTAGATAGATATAAATATGGCCATCATTAAAACATAATAGAATGTTTGGTTTTGTCAAGTGAATTAATGCATGTGAAAGTATTCATTCATATCTTATTTGATGTCATTTCTATTTCTGTTTTTATCTTTTGTTTAATCAATATATTAAAAGACAATGTTCTGATTAAACAATATTTCGGATGCTAAACAATTCTTTTTATTGGCAGTTCACAGTCTAAAAGCATAACCACATCAAGCAAAAACTGCATGTAGACCACTCTGGATCTTGAAGACTTTTTGCTTCTAACAGAGTTTTTTAAAAAAAATTGTGGAAAAATATCTACATTTCAATGATAGTTAATAATTGGAAAGTAGAATTATAATCAAAGAAATTCCTTCAAATGGATTTTTATCTTTTAGTGTCCGTTTAATATCTTGCTTGGCACTTTCAAATTATCTTAGAAGGATAGCTTTCTTTTATTTTATGGCATTTTAATCATTTTTATATTATGAACCTACCTATTGTATTCCATGTATTGCAAATTTATTTCCAATAGACCTTTTGCTTGATGATTAGTACTGGAACCTATGTTTCCAAGTGAAAACACTTTATTTCTATAACACCTTCACATGAGAGGTATTTAAGAACACAAAGCTAATATTATTCATGTTTCTGGAGCTTATAAATTCATAATTTTAAAGTTTCATGAATTTCATTTTAGATGAGACTTGCCTTTAAATATACAGTTGTGGTTTCTGTAGAAGTTACCTATATGTCTTCAAAAACCCGACTGGTCTAATCTAGAAAAATGACTTTTTGAGACAGTCGTATTTCTCTTTCTTTCTTTCTTTTTTCTTAAAAAAAGACAAAACAGCAATAAACATTTTAGCTCTTTAATGAGCAAAGATCATGTTTCTTAGCATTGGACTAATAGCCATTATCCAGATTATCTTTATTTCACGCAATGACCAGTGACATGGCCAAGATGTACAAAGTTGTTTCCATCAAGTAGTATACAATTGTTTTTTGTATAATAAGCTTTCATTCTTGAAAAAGAGTAACTGAAAAGAAAGGTTTCTGTTACTGCAGTTAGTTTGTCAGAGAAAGTTCTTTGCATTATCTTATAAACTATCAAAATTGCTAGTCATCTGAAAAAATGTAAAAAAAAATCACATAACTTTAGTCTAATAGAAATATAGTACAGGTAAGAGAGAAAGTATTTATCAGGATGTGCTCTTTAAGTCCATCTCATTTTTTTAATATAAATGTACATCTGATTACATATACAAACATTTGGAAAGGTCTGCGATATACTGTTACTGGTAAACAACAGGGGGATGAAGAGTTTCCTGTGGTCTTAGAATATTTATTTAAAATCACACATACGTGTAAAACTGAAATCCTCCAGATGTTGGCTCTCCTAGGTTTTGTATCTATGTTGTACTCTGCTGAGATTGCATGAGTAAATCCAGTGAATGAACCTCAGTGAGAAAGATAAGTGATGTGAAGAGGGACATAACTTTATACTCAATTATTATTAGTAAACATTTTGTCATGCAACATGAGTAAATCAATTAACTGAGAACTGTAATCAGAGTGGTAATATTGGGGCATCCTTATATCATAAAAAGACTGTTGCAAGTAACTCTTTGGAGACACTTCACCTTACCCAAAGGAACGAAATACAGAGAAACAAAAACCACAGCAAATTATAGATACTGTAACACATGTCCAATTAGGGTTATATTTCCATAAATTATTTAGATGGGAATGAAAAGAACATTAAAAACACAGGAAATTTTTTTCTGGGATTCGTATCAGCGAGTATTCACCACTATACCTATACTTTCTTCAAATACCTTTAAAAACTAATTCTTTCTATATTGAAACTACTGAATTATTTTATTGTAATTACTTTTGCCCCTTAAAATCTTCTTTGGGTTCTGCCAATTGATGGAGGAAGCTTCTATTAAAAACTCCAATGGGATGAGAAGGTTTTTAATTACGGCTTAATCAGCAGCACAGCCACCAAGCATATAAATTATCATGCACATCGTGCTAAAAATATCCAGTTTCCTTTATCCCCACAACTTTATACTGACAGCACTTATGTGATAATGTTGTACCTGCCAGTCTTTAAACTTCTTTGTTTTACTGGCAAATTTCAGCATGAGCCTCTGCTAAGGCCATTAACAGCATTGGTGCTTTGTGTACTTATCCAAATATGTAAATATGGTCTACACAATAAACGGCTCCAAATAAAAACTGGTGAAAATTATCTGACATTCCATTGGTGTGTCCCTTGTGCATATTCATAGTTTTTTTATTTTTATTTTTTATATTTAGACATAGTTCTTTCCTGTTTGGTGTTCCACATGCCTAATTCCATTATGTAACTTAAATCTTCAAAAAATTAATTCGTGGATGTGAATGAAAAAGTATCATTCAGAACAATTGCTCGAAGCAATTGAAATTTGTTCTTAAAGTTGATTCGTTTATATATACAACTCATTTTTTCAAAACCCCCAAAGTTCTTGATATGTATATTCACATAATATTCCTCATTTAAATAGTAAGAGTCTTGTAGGTTGAAAGCCAAGGAATCTTCAGTAATGTTACCACAATCCATCAAAAAAATAGTTTGTTTCTCTTATCTGGCTATACCCTGGTTGTTGAATGTGAATGGGGGTGGGGATGGGGATGGGGCAGAGTATTGTTCTGTCCTCCAGTAAATGTATTGAATGTGTGTAAGGGCTGAATCCCTGGGATAGTGTTGGGAATCATTGTAATGGTGTTGGGTGTCATTAAGGGAACATCATCAGGTGACCTCCTCATAGCTAGTGTGTAATCTGGGGGGCAGGCGGTCCGAAGAACCACCTCATGTGGATGGATGGACTCACATTCATGATCCAAATCAGTGTGCTTCATTTGGAGGGACATGATTTCCTCTTCTTGTGCATGGGTCAGATCATTGGTAGTAGTGCGCTGAGGGCTGCATCTCCTGTGAACATCGTGTCTCCTCTTATCCTTTTTGTAATACAGGGCTGCGAAGGCCAAAATGTTCAGAAACAGCAGTGATGCCCCAACTGCAATAGTGACACTCAGCTCTGTTGAGTAGTCCCTTTGATCCACTGAAAATGGACTCGGTTGTTGTTTGGGATCATCTTGCTTGGCAGTGGGAAAGGCTGATGTGACAGGTACAGAATTTTTTCTCGTAGGTCTGAAAGTGATGTCAGTTGATGGCACTTTAGTTGTTGTCGAGGTATACTGAGAAATGTCATTGAGATTATGCAGATGAGGTACCAGCTCCAACCAGAGGTTCACCTTATTGGCTCTGTAATGTTCTTTAACTCTTGGTTTTAATCCAATATGGAGATAAAGTTGGTCTTTCTGGGAATATCTGGTCCATGCTACTTCTTCAAAGCGGTTGGGTTTGGTGTGGATGAATTTTGTGTCTTGAGGGACTGGCTGATTTGGGTCACTAGGAAATAAAAAAAGAAATTATGAGAAACAGAATTGTTTTATTCTTTTCCTTAGTCAAAATGTTACTAGTTTAACATCTAAGTGAAGAGGTGACTCAGCAAAACCTTAGATTGTGTTTTGACATTAACTTGGTTAAAATTAGAAACAGAAATCTATTAACAGCCAGATTGTTAGATGGGTGATAATGTAAGGCAAGTAAGCCTTATATTTTCTTTCTCTCTGCCCATCTAGAGATGGGCTACTATCTATCCAAAGATTATTTTTAAATTATTTAAATATGTATATACTTATGAGTTGTTTCATAGGCAAACTAGCAGAGGTGGCATGGAATAGTAGAAGTGACCTGGAATTTTGAATTGGCAGATGAAATATTAGAGTCCTGGTTCTGCTACAAACCAGACATATGAAAATCTACACAAAGCTCTCAGAGCCTCAGGTCCCTTCTCTGTTAAATGGATTAATAGTACCTGACCTGTCCGCTTCACAAGGTACTTGGAAGGACCAAAATGCATGCAGTATTGTGAATTGGAAAGCACTTTAAAATAATATTTGTTACTATTGAACAAAAATAATAATGTCCTGTGTAATTAAAAAACCAAAAACATATGCAATTGTTGAGTAATGCAACTGAGATATGTCCTTTCTTAATAAACTTCCAAAAATGAAGAACCAATAAAGCAATGACTTTTTGAAACATGGTAATATAGAATTAATTTTGAATAAAGGCACTTAATATATTGTTGATATTGCTCTATTAAATTATTTTGGCACAACATACATATTGCTTTAAAATGCTGAAAAGGATACTTATATTAAAATTATAACATACTTTATTTCTTAGGTACATACCCAGTTTTAGCAAAATTTGTCCAGTATGTCATTACAACTGCACTCAGCATCACATCATTTTTGGAGAAATTGCAAGGAAACAACTCTGTAGGGCCAATCATTGGGATTCCCAATACATAGGGAACCTCGTCTCCATGGGCTGCATCAGCCCAAGCTGGAACCTGATCTGTTTGGCAATGATGGTAAAAGGCATAGAAGTATGTAGGTGAACCAAAGTTTGAATGAAGATCTGCTGTAGCTACAGCTGGTGCCACCCACTGATGGTCCGTAAACAAAGCCAATAATGTCTTCCTTCTGGTTTCAGGGTTATGACGATCAGCCCAGTCAGTATACATGAATTTAATGGTTTCTCTCAAAACATCTTTGCCTTCAGGGTATCCATATAAATTATCAACAAAATTGGAAACAGCAAAGTCAAAATCACTAGCTGATATACCATCATCACTATCTACTATATTTTCAACAAATTTTAACCCTTCCCCTTGGTTCACTCCTAACATTATATCATAATTGAGAAACTCTCCTTGTTCCATCAATATCTGAGGGTCATCTGGTATTACATCACCATCAATCACAGGTCCAAAGGCTATGTGGTATCGGGCTGGTTGAATATCTTGATCAACAAGTTCTTTGTAAGGCTTCTTCTGTAGGCATTCCACTAACTCTACTGTATCTGAAACATTGCAACCAACTTTTGTGGCCAACATTCTAGCATATTTTGCAGGTTGGAAACTAACAGCCCAGCTGGAAAGGGCTGTTCCACTTTGAGCTATTGCTCGTTGAAAAAGTCCTATGAGAAAACCAACAAAGAGTTTCAGATGATCTTTAAATAATGTAGTAAAACAATAACAATCTGATATTTTAGACATGTATATAAAAACCCAGATACAACTCAAAAACAGGGGATATAGAGACACTTTTACTTAAGAGAAGGTACACAAAGTCATCCCCAGGGTATACTAAATCAGAGAGATGCAGCTAAATCTTGTGCTTTGAGTGGCTTTGAGCATCAAGAGGTCTAAACTGTGTAGAGCCTGAAACAGATTGTGAGCAAGAAGAAAAGGAGATGTAAATACCAATGATAAAAAGCCCCCAAATGTTTTCTTCAATGAGTATGTAAACATATTATCATCAATGTTAACCAAATGGAGCCAACCCTCTCTCTCTACTTTAAGTCTCCAGAAGACTCTACATTATCCTTTTGGGATATATACTTCAATTTAGCTGCATTTGCCTTCCTTTGAAATAATTCTGTATGTTTGTTTTAACCCTATTCGATTTGAAAAGAAATTGTTGTGCGCTCACTCAACTATTGGGGCTAGGGATTTGTTAATACCCTGGGGATGGCCCTGAAGGCACATAGAACAGAATATCACTTTAGACATACTCTTTCCAGATCTTCATGTCAGACATAGTATGTTGAATAACCATCCTTCAGAAGAAGACATAATATTTGAAGTGTTTTCACTAGGCTGAAGAAAAAACGATCAGCAGAAGGATTTAGTAGGGGTGATTTAACTTTTCCCACTGTTGAATGTGCAGTGCTATATTTTATTATAAAAGATGAAAAGTACATGGTCCACTGCTTTTTACTTAATTGAATTTAAGAATTGTAAATTATGGCCCCATGTGCAATTTGATAAGAGCTATGTGCCATTCAAATTTACAAATGCACTTTATCTACTCTTTAGGGTATTTTTCTAATAAAATTCTTGTTTTAAAAATATAATTTATCTGTTTTATTTTAAAAATGTATGTTTCTTATCAATTTCCAAATACAACTTTGTAGTTCAGTTATTTAAACACATTCGCCATTATTCATGTGTTAATAAGACCTTTTTTCACAACGGTGCAGAAGCAGTGTCTGAATTAGAAGTAAAGTTTTAGATTTTTCATCAAACATGCATATATATTCAAAATGTCTGTAACATCTTTCTAGATAATTCTAAAAATATTCAAAAAGTCAAACAAAACTAATTTAAATTTGGTTTACTGATATCTTTATGAACATAATTTTTAGTTTACTAGAGCAAAGTATGCTAGAGCAAATTATACAAATATAGATAAATTAAAAAATTATGTAGGCTGTTTGTTAACATTTGCTCAGGAAAATATTTTATTAATTAAAAACTTTACAAAGAAAATAAACCTGGTGATTTCTATAATATTCTTTCCCATTCCAGGGACTCAGTGACATTAACTAAATATACCAAAAAAGATTTAGGGAAAAAGGCACATCATGTTTAAATATAGCCTGAAATATGCCATCTAGATGGTATTGGAAAACCATATATTTTATCATTAGTGAGAGTACTTATTATGTGGATGCAAAATGGGGTTGACTCATGGTGGATATAGGCCCAGGCATTATTGCAGCCCTTTGTGGAGTTTATAGCCTTTAAAGCCTGTGTCTGAACTGGAGGCAGAATCAGCTTGATGATTTCAAGAGATCTTTTTGATCATCTCCTTGTCAAATCAGGTGTCTGAAGACGGGTTTAGGAATTGACCAAACTCAAGTCCATGTCTCTGGCCAGGTAATGACTGATTTCCTTGAAGGGTGTGATAAAATGTTATATATTTCAACTGTTTTCATAACCATTTGCCACTGTTTACCATATTGTCAATCAATGAGTAGCAATGTTAGCTGATAAACTAATTGATTTGTCTCTTTAACCAATGTTAGTTTGATACTGGCTGAAACTGGCTTTAATGCCCATTTTTGATCAAATGACCCTGGGAAGTCTATAGAAGTTGCCTACTGATACCTTAGTTAAGAATTGGCATCAATACTCAAGTTAGAACCATCTAATCTGTTTAATTAAGAAACAAAATTTGTTATTTCAAAATAAGCCATTTTTTAAAGACCAAAATCTCTGTTGGAAATGTTCTCATCTGTGTATTTTTTTGTCACCTTGAATCAGAATTGTACTAATATAAATAAAATATTATGTAAATTATGTCAATAAATTAAGTATATGATAATATATGATTCTCTCTGTATAAATTTATTTGACTGACTATTCTTTTCCACATTAATGTACATTTGATACTAAAAACAAATATTCTATGTGCGATGCTTATATCATAAAACTCAGTCTTACAAATAAAGATGCTTCATAAATTAAACTTGACAGTGTATACTTTCTTCATATATATGTATGTATATACACACACACATACACACAATGACAATAAAAAAGAAAATACAAAACGGTCTTTGTTGGTGCATATTCTCTATTTTCCTCTCTATTATGTATAAAGAATGGAGAGAAAGTATTTGCTTTGCAGACTTCTTCAACAAAACTGTTCTTGTGGATATTTAAAATTAATAATGCAATTAGAATGGATGATTAAACACATGGTAAAATGGAGATGGAGTTCATGAGGAACAACATGGTGAGACTTGGACAGGCACTTTGGAAAAAGGATGTCAAAGTCAGAAAAAGGAAACAAGAAAAATATTTTATAGAGTTAAGCAGTCTTGGAGCTTCATGCTGCTTTATCAAATTTGGGAGAAAAAAAATAACACTTGTGGAATTAAAAATAGAAAAAGAACAAAATCAAATGTATTTTTCTTTCTAAGCAAAAGCTCTACTAGTGACCTTGATGCTTTGACAATTTTGGATCATGCATGCAAAATAATCAAACATCCATTCTCTACTCAGACAACAAGTGAAATCACATGTTTCCAGACAAACTATCTTAGATTGCTTTTTTAGCTTCACATTAATAAAGGGTTTTAAATGTTTATTGTCTTGAAAATAGATTATATACAATCCTTACATTTTAAAAAATCTCATCTTTGATTTTGAACTAAATAAATGGAGATGACAGAACTGTGAATGTCATTGTCTGATTATCCCCAAAATCACCCTTTGAAGGAAAGAAGAGTAACTGCAATGCTAACTATTCTGAAGTTTTCTTGAAAGGGCATCCTTACCAAGCTCCACGGGAGACAAAGAAAAGAGTGTGAAGAAAATTTAAACATGCATAGAAAAGCTGAAGAAACATACTTTTAAACAGTTATTGAGTTCAACCTAACATTCAGTTTGAACAGAGAAATATATACAGAGCATCACATAGTACTGATGGTGGTGGCATGCAGACACCAAAATTGTCAAAATTTGCAACCTGCATAATACCTTTGGTTGAATTGCTCCAACGGTTACCTTCAGAATAATGGGATAAAGTCAGTAGATTGACACATGAACCCCCAGCACCAGATCCAAACACAGTGATTCTTAAGGGGTCACCACCAAAGAATCCAATGTTTTCACTAGTCCATCTCAAAGCCTGTATGAGATCAAGGAGTCCATAGTTCCCTTTTGCAGCCTGATCCCCTGTACTCAAGAAACCTGAAAAATAGAATTTAAAAAGAGAATTAAAAATAGAATTAAATAGACACCTTTTAAGTTGGCATGAATCAAATTGACATCAAATTAAAAAACAAAAGAAGCCTGTGTTAATCAAGATGAGTACAGTCCAAGTTCTTCAGTAAAAGTTATTTCCTATCAGAACGAAAGAATTTACTTTAGGAAGAATAGTAGTGACTGAAATGTGAAAATTGACATTATCTTCCCCAAATGCTTCCCAAACTATTCAGGTTAACAGGTAACAGGACAGATAAAGGAAATGAAAGCATTCTAAAAGATCTCGAGGGAGACATTTCAGGGGCCAAATTACCATTTGGGTAGTATCATGGGTCTTAAAACAATGTGCATTTTTCATAAAACACCATGTCAGTCCTCATGGTCTAATATGGGTGGAATTTAAGGTACATGGATCAGAGCGACAGGATGTAAAGATGTAAAGCAGGGGTATTTTTCTAAGACTTGTAGGGGAAGGGTTTTATAAACTCCCTAAAATTATGTACAACTCTGCATGTATAGGAATATGCACACTTTTATCAATGATGGTGCATGATTGAGAAGGAATTATTGTGCCAGAGGTCATTTGAAACTACATTTTGGAATACTTTAAATGCCAAACTGAGGAGAGTTGCTCAATTAGGAAAAAGTGTGGAATAATCAAAGTGTGAAAAGTTCAGACTCATATCATTTCTGGGATGGATGATCAAAGCTCTGCTTTATAGCTAATCTGATAATGAAGAGAAATATATCTTGAATAATAGAATGGAGGTAGGGGAGAGATTATGAGAATCTGAACTGATAGAATGGGCAATTGAAGAAAGAAAATGGATAGAAAAATATTGTGGCAGTAAAAGCTGGTGACTTGCTTATATACGGAAATTGTAGAGGGAAGAGTCAAAGATACTACTTTAGCAATACTTTATACATATTCATTCATTTTTCTGACTTAATAGCTTTTAAAATGTGTTTATTATAACTTATAAGACAAATATTTATTTTCTAATATATTTCTGTATTTGGTATAAATGGAAAAGTAGAGTGTTTCATAATTATTCCATCTTATGGACTATTCATATATTATGTAGAATATACTTAGAGTCATATTAGATATAAATTGATTAATTTACCAGGGATATTTTCAATATCAATAAGTTTTATAAACTAATTAAAAAAATTAGTTCTCTCTCTTATTGTAGACTCATTATAGAAACTCAATATAATGGATAAATACTTATGATAAGAATTATTTTATTCAAGTTGAAAGATACCTCTTTGTTTTATAAAATAAGTGAGGAGGTCAATTGCATTCGTGTAAACCAGACCATGACAACAATATTCATCAGTTGAGTAAATAAATGCATAACCAAAATTAATATATGGACAAGACATTCTTTAGGATCATTGTAGAAAGCAATAAATGAACACAAATCCTCCTGAATAATTTTGAAAATTTGAAGAAATGAAAGAAGTTAGTCCTTATTTTGCTACAAGGTAAAAAATTCTAAGGAACAAAAATACAATCTCTGGTCATTGTGCGTGTGTTTGTGTATATGTGTTCAATCGTGGAAATATTAATTATCCTTGAGATTGAAGTTAAATTTTAAAAATACTTTCCAAATAAATGTATCTTTCTGGTCATGCTCATGATCTTTTATTGAATTTTCATAATAATTTAAGAAAATTTTCATGGTGTCTTCTCACGTAGAAGCATTTTCAAATACTTGATATTATATAAATTAGAGCATAATAAAAAACAAAACAAAAAGCATGTCAGGGAACTCTTAACTATATTGGCTACTATATGAACTTTGATATAAGACAGAACCATTAGTTTAAATTCTTGAAAGATTCTTTTAAAAATATTTTCATCTGTAAAGATAGACGACTATATAACCTTGGAAACAACATTATAGAAGGATTACTGTGCATTAGATAGAAAGGACTCTTGAAGGATCAAGGAGATGTGTGTGTGTGTGTGTGTGTGTGTGAGAGAGAGAGAGAGAGAGAGAGAGGATTAATAAGAGAACAAGAACACAATACTCTAGGTAGTTCATTACCTATAATTCTATCAGCAATATACTCATATAAGTTTGATTTCTGAATATTGCTTGCCACTCAGTGCAAAATGAGGATTTATATTTAAGTCATCTTGCAATAACAGTAAGTGTGGTTATATTTAAATGAATTCTTACATCCATACAGAATTAATTTACTTATAAAATACTCATCATTCAATGTGTAGTCTATAGAGAACCATAGTAATAAGACAATTATCTCCACATTAACTAAATAGTACCCCTTCTATAATTTTGGTTCTAGTTGCACTATTTTAACCACTCTGGTAGATTGGTCAAATATCCTTGTGTTTATATAATAACATAAAAACATATAAAGTCTCTAAAAATAAACTTCTACTTCATACATACATAGTTTAAAGAAATCTTGTAATATCTTTAAGAAAAAGTTTTAAAGAAAATCAATTCAATTCCAAAATTTTTACTATTAAACCATAGCATAGAAGATTGAGTCAATCATTTGGTAAAAGTTATTATGTTCTACTCTTAGTCTTTTATCTTAGTCTAGTTATTGTGTCCAAGATCACTCTGTCAACTCCATTTTTACCCTTCAGTATTGAATTTCCCTTACTTTTGATTCTATTGTATTTTATATATATGCTGTTATCTATATATCTATCCATCCATCCATCCATCTATATCATCTATCTGAAACCAGCTGATCCATAGAGTGAATTTAAACAGGCATTTTGACTTTTATATTAGGAAAAAAAGATAGATTCTGTTTTTATTAAGGCCAGCCAACCAATCACATCACATCTCCTCAGACCTAGTACAGTGATACATATTTGTATGAATTCTTTAATTCCTGATATTATATTCAAACAACATCTTGTGGCTCAGCTAAGGGCACAAAATGAGGAAAGTTAAATAAATTGCTGCCTCAAAAGAGATACAGTTTGCTAATTACTCAAGTGATCTGCATTGGCAGCATTCTTTATACCTTGCTATCTAGTGAAGTACTCATTTAAAGTTCTTTTTTAATTGGCTTAGCTTTATGTCCTTAGCAACGGAATCATTTCAGACCACTCTAGCTAGAATTTTACATTGAAATGCTGGACTATAGACCAGCCATGGAGGAACTCAATTTTGCAGACTCCTGAAAGTGTTGCTTATTTCATGATTACTTTGAAGATTTTTTCTTTAATGTCATTTAAATCATTCTTAATAGAGAGTCATTAATTTTATCTGGCTTTTCCTTGCTTTCATTGTAAGCTTTGAGAATGTGTGATTAATTATTGTCATGATTCATTGACATATTTTTATTATGTAAGATAGAACAATAATATTAATACTATAAAAACAAACTCTTTTCCTTTTCAGGAGGAAATGGCAGAGTTTTCCAGAAAAAAATCAAATATTTAATTTGATTGATTCATGAATATAAAGCCTTAAGAAATTAGTACTTTTAAACTTAAGACTGTCAAAAATTATAATTGCAACTTATGCTAAAAATTATTTTGCTGATCCATGTATCCATGACAATCATCATTCAACTATTTGTTTAAATATAATTTATTTAATATCATTTCATTTTTCCCACCTAAAAACTCATTCAATCAAAAAATATTTCCAGTTATTGTTCCTACATGGAACTACTAGTTCTACTGATCTGATTAAATCTACTGAGCAGGCTTAGCTTCAATTTGCTGTTTAACTGATTTGGCAACTAGAATTAGTTTCAGGTATTAGAGAGAAACTAGGAATTTGAACGTGGGTCCATAGGCCCCTGAAATGGAAAAATAAGACCAGGCCTAAAATAAATTGGGCAAGGGGAAAATAAATAAAAGCAGATAATTACTGCAACCGAGGGTTGGCTTGGGCTACTAGTGCATATGGAACTCATATAGGCATGCCCTAAGGAGTATGGAAGGAGATAATTTTTCAGTCTGCAGTCCTGCAGCTTATTGGTTGACCCAATTTAGGACTCTTGCAAATTTGACCATAAACACTATACAGTATATTTAGAATGCAAAAAAAGAAGAAAAAAAGCATATTATTTATATTTGAGATGACATCTAGAATGTCAGGAATTTAAGATGTCAGTGATTCTATATTGTAGATGTGCTTTCTTTGGGGGGCATATTTGAATGTCTTTGTTTATAGTGATTAATTTTTGGAAACAGTAAATAAAATATATTTTTTTGAGTCCACATGATATAGTTTAGGCTATAAAAAGGTAGGGAAGAAATTTGCAGTGTTTATCAATGCTGTTGCCTGGATACAGATGACTGTGGTTGGTTCTTTGAGTCAAATTGCTAAGTACTTCAAAATACAGACAATACTGAGCATTAAAGAGCCAGACTTGCAGACATGCGACTGAATGATAGTGAGGCATCCTCCTAGGGACTCGGGAATATGGATCAGAAAAATAGCTCATTAAAGGTTTTACATCATAAGCATGCAACAATTTAAAACTGTGGGATTAAAACCTCAATTCTTCTAGCTAAAAATCCAACTGGAAATTTCATGTGCTAACTCTCCTTATCTTTTCAGTTGCCAAGTTCAGTCATTTCTTCTTCTGCGTTCGGTCTCTGTCTCCTACTTTAAACCTCATGTCACTTACTTATTCAAGGTCCTCCTCTTTTCTTCTTAGACCCTCAAAATCACTTTACTTAGTCACGTAATCTCCAAACTTCCAGCAAACAAGTGCCCTTTCTGTTACCAGATTCACTTTTCAAAAATATTTGGTTCTAATGGGAGGACACTGCTATATGAAAATAAAATCCTCATGTCAAGACATAATTGGATGATTTCCCTTTATTTTCTTTGAGTCAAGATTGTTCAAACTATGATGTTTTAAAATCCCCCAAATTGGGCATATATAGCCAAATGATTCTCTGCAAAGGTGCCAAGACTATACAACGGGAAAGGAATAGTTTCTTCCACAAATGATATTGGGAAAACTGG